AATACAGGGTCTTTATAACATGCAATAAACTAGCAAGTGATTTTCTTCTGCCACACCAGACTAAGCAGGCCCTATAGATCCCTATACTAAAAGAGGATGGTGGCTGTAAATCTACTACATGGTGAGCAATAGTGCAGACCCCTCATACAACAAGGTTTCAGCAATGGGGATTGCAGTACAACAACTCAGCCCCACCAATTAATGCCCCATCAGCCTACTCTCAATCATAGCAGACTGATGGTAGGCATCACTGACTGTGCTATCAAGTGGAATTTGCTCAATAGTAGCTTGCTCACTGCTGCTCAATTTGGTTTACGCCAGGACTACTCAGCTGCTGAGCTAATTACAGCCTTGCTCCAAATCTGGACAAAAGAGCTGAATTCCAGAGATGAGGTAACCATGCCTACCCTTGACATCAGGGTAACATTTAACTGAGGGTGGCATCAAAGACCCCAAGACAAACTGAAGTCAATGGGAACTGGGAAAACCTCTCTTGAGTCATGCACATCTCAAAGGAAGATGGTTGTGGCTGTTAGGGGTCAATTATCTCACTTCCAGGATATCTCCACAGGAGTTCCTCAGGTTAGTATCCCAAGGCCCATCTTCACCTGTTTTATCAAAGATCCACTTTCCATCTTAAGGTCAGAACTGGGATGACCACTGATGATTACACAATAGTCAGAGCATTCACAACTTCTCAGATGCTGAAGCAGTATGCCCAATTGCAACAGAACCTGGCCAACATCCAGGCTTGGACTGAAAAGTTGCAAGTAACATTCATGCCACACAACCAACGACCATCACCAACAGGAGAGAATCTAACCATCTCCCCTTGATAGTCACTTACATTACCATCATTGCAGCCCCCTCTATCAACATGGTGGAGGTTATTTTTGACCAGAAACTCAGTTCAACTGGCCATATAAGTACTGTGGCTACAAACAGACCAAAGACAAGGAATCCTGTAGCATCTCCTGACTCCCAAAAGCCTGTCTATCATCGACAAGGCACAAATCAGGACAGTGAATTCTTCCCACTTGAATGGATGACAGCAGCTCACTCAACAAGCTTAGCACTATTGAGGATACTTAAGCAACTTACCAAGGCTCCTTTGACATCACCTTCCAACCCTGTGGCCTCCACCAGCCAGAAGGACAAGAGTAACAAATGCATGGCAATACTACACCTGCAAGTGCCCATGCATATCCAAACTTGGTTCCTTCACTGTCAGTGGGGAGAAGTCCTAGAGCTACTTCCCTAACAGCACTATGGAAGTACATGCCTCCAATGGATTGCAGCAGGCATCTTACTTTCACCTTGTCAGGAGGAATTCAGAATGGAAAATAGCTGCTGGCAAAGCCAGCAACACCAAAATTCTATGAAGAAAAATCAAAGAAAATGTCAGGAGAGAAGAGCACTCAAAGATACAGTTTCTACATATAACGTAGGAAAATAGAAGTTAGAAGCAGGAGTAGGGCATCAAGACCTTTGAGCCTACTCTATCATTCAATAAGATCATGGCTGATATAGTTGTAGCCTTAGTTCCACTTTCCTGTCTGCAGCTCTCCCATAATCAATAAATTGTGACTTCCTTGTCTATCAAAAATCTACCTAAAAGTCTTCTGATTTTGATAGACAGAGTGCACAAAATCAAGACCCACCACTTTACAAGCCACACAAATTTCAAATTTAATGACCAGTTTATTTCTTTTATTAATGCTATCTAGAACAAAAGAGGTTTGCTTTTTATAACTCATCTGATTGCTTCAACGAATTCAAAAATAACATATTTAATAAGATCAGTTATATTCTTATAGTAAGTGGCAAAAGCAAATATTAACTAAACCATTACGCAGCATCCACCTTTATCCCAAACAGACAGATTTATATAAAAACAGGACAAGACAATGCAGTTCTGCAGAGGTATTACAGGTGGGATTAAACTTGAAAGAAAAGCAACCTTCTGGAGCCAGAGTCCAAACTAAAGAATAGAATGAATTGAACTTGTACAGTTCCCTCAGTTTCCTATTGATGAAATCAAGTTGCTGCCACCCACAAAATGATAGCAGATACTCAGTTAGGGTGAAGTTTCAGTTAGACCTAGGTCTTTGGATTGGGTTAACAGTTTACTTTTCAGAGCTTATTAGGAGCTTAAAGAGACTAATTTCTGAAATTTAGTGCATTTTCTTTTAATGGTTATCGTTTACTCACTAAAATGGAGAGATAAAGAAAAGAGCACTACTGCTACATCTGGCTGTATTCTGAAAAAAACAATTTTAATTTAGAGGCTGTTGTTAGTCAAGTTAGCAGCCAAAAGTTGATCTGCCACCCAGCAGCTACTCAGTGCATTCCCCTCATTGACTCCTATAGCTTCTGCTTATAATAAACCTCACATAGGAGATCGTATAGAAGAGGTACAGGAACAAAGGGTTCTGGACGCCTATGTAGGAACATTTGTGAAGCTAAATGGAGATGTTGAGAGGGTATTTGAAAGAAATATGTTGGACCCATCAATTTATAGACATAGGCATGGAATACAAAAGCAGAAAAACAACCTTCAACTTTTACGTATCACTGCTTGAGCCCAGCTCGAGCAATATCTCCAATTCTGGGCATTGCTTTAAGGAAAGTTGTCAAGCCCTTTGGGAAGGTATCGGGGAGAATTACGAGAATGGACCAGGAGTAAGGGAGTTCAATTATATGCAGAGAGTGGAGAAGCTAGGCTTGTTCTCCCTTGAACACAGAGGAATTCAAGCTCATAAAGAGCAACAAAATGACAGAAGGGGCAAGAATCAAAAGACACAGTTTTAAGGCAAAAAAGGCAAGATATCAAGACCGTTTTATACACAATTTGTTGTGATCGAGTATATACTTCAAGAAAAGAAGTGAAAGCAGGTTCAATAGTAACTTTCCTGAAGAAATTAGGTAAACATTGATGACAAAATTTAGCATCATAGAGCTGTACAGCATGAAAACAGACACTTCATTCCAACTTATCCATGCCAAACAGATATCCTAAATTAATCTAGTCCCATTTGCCAGCATTTGACTCATATCCCTCATATCCCTATTCGTATACCCATCCAGATGCCTTTTAAATGTTGTAATTGTATCAGTTTCCACCGCTTGCTCTGGCAACTCATTTTATACACGCACCACCTGTGAAAAGGTTGCCCCTTAGGTCCCCTTTATATCTTTCCCCTCTCACCTTAAACCTATGCCCTCTACTTTTAGACTCCGTTACCCTGGGGAAAAGACCTTAACTACTCACTCTATCCATGCCCCTCATGATTTTATAAACTTCCATAAGGTCCTCAGCATCTGACGCTGCAGGGAAAATAGCAATGGGGAACAACAGGGGAATGGGAGGAATTGGAATTGGGTAGTGCTTTCAATGAGACATCACAGGACAAATGGCTGACTGGGATGAATTCCACTGGATTATTGCTCAGGAGGTGAAAATGTTCTTTCGTTAAAAATACATTGGCAGCCTCTTATAAATATGTTTAGTGATTGACCAGCGTGATAACCAAATTGCAGAAATAAAATATTTGATCTATCAAGCCAGATCTCACCCTGCAACCTGAAATGTTCCAGTATTACCACCAGCTAGGACCATAGTGCTAGCCATTATTTAGTAAAGTGTTCATGCACTCAGGCATGATAATATTGTTACTTGGATTCGGATATTATACTATTTGTAATTCATTCATTACCTCATGGATTTTCATATATTTAAAGGACGTGCGATATTTGCTTGCAACCTTTGTTCTGGTTCATTAATATCGTTTAAGGAAGATGACCTGCAGTCATCACGTGGCCATCCTGCACATGATTCCAGGCCCCAGCATTGCAGTTCGCTCTTAACTACCCTCCGCAAGAGGAATTATGTCCTTTCATGCTGGAGTTTCTGCAACGAGCAACAAATCTGGCCTCACCAGTGGCACCTTCATCCCATGAGAAAAAAGAAAAAAAGAAATAGGATACATTAACCAACAGAATACAGTTCTCAGAGAAATTAATTCAATTCTCTTTCACTTTTCATACTCTGTTTCACAATACATAATTTTACTAACTCATTAGGAAGAACTCTTTTGAAGCTAGCTGTCCCTAAGTGAACTGGTCCCTCACTTCGTTAGTTAAAGGTTACACTCTTTTGTGCCTCAGCCCAGCATTTTGCTTCATGTCCGACAAGTGAAAGAGATCCATTTCTATGTTTGCCTGTCTCAAACTCCTTCTCCAAATCAAGACAGAGAGAAAAAAGAACAAAGATTGTCCTTTGATTCTTATGTGGTTTGAGTTTCCAACGAAAGTGACCATCTCAAGCAAAAGACCACCCTCTTGGATAGAAGTTGACACATTTGTATGCCTTGTTCAGCCAAGCCCCTTGTAGAACAGTGACTGAAAACCTGAAATAACTCCATAGAGGCCAGTATCCCATCACCAAATCACCCTTTATTTACACATGTACAGTACTTGACACTCATCTGGCTTCCTCAAAGCCAACTCTCAGAGTGAACAGAACCTCTGACAATCCTGTTTATATCTATCAGCCAGGGTCCCTGGTTGGGCCAGGTTAACAGCCCCAATCAGGGAACTCATAATCTATGAGGTCCACCTGGCTGATCTTGTTACAATCACTACAAAACCCATTTTACCACAGTGGCAAAAAAGCCTAAAATGATGGATTAAGAAGTCTTATTGTCACAAATCAACACTAAGTAACTTCTCCGAATTTGAACTCTTTGTAAATTTGAACACACTTTGTATGGATAAGATAGCATAGCTTAGACAAAAATCCCTTACATATGGAAGTGTCAAAATGCTGTATGTACATTATTTGCTTATACAGAATGTAGTTATGTGCATGAAAATGTAGTATTGCAGGCTATGGAAAAGAGCCAGTACTGTGTCCACTTTAATTTAGCTAGATGGAATACTCAATGCTGGGACCAACCTGACATTTGTTCATTCTTCAGCTTCTCAAAAATACTCACAGTATGGCAAACAATGCAAGTTCAGTTCATTCCAATGTGAGCACTGTGGACAGCTACAGTTCACTCTGCAATGAACCAATGTATCAGCTATTGGAAAAGACCAGTGAAGATGACTATGACACTGATGTGGAGCTTGATGGTGAGAAAATAGAAATCATGATCAATCTGTTCTTCATGCAAAATATAGTTGAAAGCTAACCCTAGGTCCCTGAAGCAGTAGAATACGTAATAAAGGATGGAGTGGGGGGAATTTGCAGGCCACTCCATTTATCTGCAGCCATTAGCAGACATGTGGTTTTGCACTCTCCACATGCCAATGGCTCATAAGTACCATTGTGGGATTTCACTTAAATTAACTTGATACTGACTTGTCACTTTGGAAATACAGACATATTTCTCTGCATGAGGAATAAAATTTAATGCCCCCTTAAGAAGTGGCTTGGGGCACAAGTGGGGGCCATATACTCGGGTGAGGACGTGCAAGGTGCAGAGTCCATCACCTTCCCAACATCCACTGATAAAACTGGGCGGGGAGGCTGATTTAAGCTTTCCCATCCCAAGCCTACTGGGGCTCAGATGTGATCAATGAAGGGCCACAAAGATTTCACTGAGCTGTCGCTAGTTCCATAACATGTGGCAAAGAACATAGAACAGCACAGCACAGGCCCTTCGGCCCACAATGTTGTGCCGAACTTTTACCCTAATCTTAAGGTCTTTTTAACCTCCACCCCTACCTTATACTACCATCCATATCCAAAGCTGCCAAGTATGTCTTGATTCTGCATTGTGTATTCTATGTAATTAAGTTAATTTTCAATTGATTAAATATTCTTTTACCTCACGCATTCCCCGCTCTCCCCACCACCCCCCCCACCTTTAAAAGGAAAACCCGGAGAAACTGTAACAGAGGAGCAGGTCTATCGTAGGGCATGTGAGGAAATTGGAGTCAGCCCAATATCTTACTACATTCGTCACCATCATGATGCTCACCTTAACCTGAACTATCGCTGCATGTCACCCAAAGCAGTGAAAGCCTTGTCAATTGCACTTGTGGTAAGTATTTGGTGTCCAGGGAGAGGGATTGGTGTAGTAAAATCTGTCTGAAGCCACCTTCTAATCATTCAAATTCAAGTTGCACCCACACTGGAAGTCTAAACTGGATTCTCTTAGCATTAATATCTGACAGCATTCACATAAAAGAAATAAAATAACATAAACACAATAGAATATAATGTAGAGAACATTCTGAATTTGAAACCAAATTCTGAACACAGGGAACCATAACCGACAGAGGGAGAGAACGAGTCAAACTGAAATTGCCTCAGATTGATAAGAGATGGTGTGGATATGGTCTTGAAGTTAGGGGGAACGTGGGTGATAATGGCCTGTTTGTTTTAGAACATGTGCACTTTCTTTAACTGGGCTGTAAAATAACCTCAGAGATAATAAGAACTGCCGATGCTGGAGTCATAGATAACCGGTGTGGAGGTGGAGGAACACAGCAGGCCAGGCAGGATCAGAGGAGCAGGAAAGCTGACATTTTGGGTCGTGACCCTTCTTCAGAAATGGTGGGGGGGGGAAGGGAGCTCTGAAGTAAATAGAGACTGCTGATATCTTCCCATCTTTAATGTGCCAGTATCCAATGCCAATTTTACCTGCATGCAGAGAACCTAAATGAAGTGAGAAACCTAGTGTAGTGCAGTGTGACAACCTATAAGAAGGAAGAAGACAGTGACCTTACCTTAATGGGGTGAATATTCATTGGGTAGTTGTAGGAGGCAGTGAACCTTAACTGGGTGGGGTGTTGGGGACCTGCTTTTCTGTACCACAGATCTTCATTTCAATAAAACATCTCAGATTCACTGCTGTGGACAGTGGGCAGGAGTGAAAATTTGGCTTCAGCTTGGGCCCTTGTAGCAGTCATTGTTTGCAAGCTGTACAGTGCAATAATATGGGGATGGGAGCAGGTTGAGAACTCAATCTCTGGCCTCTTCATGGGACTGTCAGGAAAGACCAAAAGAAGCAAGCAAGGTTGGGAAAGCCAGAGGGTGAAAACAAGCACTGTGAACACAAAAGGGCAGAAACAGTAAGAATGAGAATGAGCGACAGAGAGAACTCACATAATTCTTGCTCTTCTGCAGACTAATACAGCAGTGACTATATTGGACATGGAGCATGATGGAATCAATGCAGAGGGAGTGCAATATCTGATGGAAATGTTAGTCGAAAATTGTTTCATCCAGACTCTGGTAAGATCATCTTGTATTTTTAGGAATCACTGTAGTTGACACAAAGTGATCACTTAGTTCCAATTAAATAAGTCAAGCAAAACGTATTGCATATTCCATCATAAGAGTAAGGAGAATTTTAGGCTGTAGATTGAATGTTGCTTCCAAGGTTGTCAACTTTGGTTGGACATATTCCTAGACATCTCATAGCCTCCATCTGCGCTGTTATCACAATGATGCCATTGGTTCCCCAAGACAGCATGCCCATGTTTACACCTTCCCATAGCTAATTAACTGATCGCATGACCCTTGATTTTCAATCAAATGGCTTTCTGTCCGTTGTTCATATTTTTTATGACTGACAGGTGCTGGATGAAGACATTCTTTTACTTAATGCCCCTTTTTTTTTTATTATTCCAGGATGTTGCTCTGTAACAGTGACCTGGAAATTAATCTTTCGTGCCTTTGCTTCTTAAGTAATTCTGTTTCTCTGGTCTTTTAGAAATCATTTGCTTTTGGAACTCAGTCACCATTGCAACAATTGCTGAGAGAGCATGAATTACTGACCTGATGTGGAGGTGCTGGTGTCTGACTCCAAACCAAAACACAAACAGATTCTAAACATGTCTCATAATTAACATGCATTGTCTGACCTAAAATGTCACCTCTTCTTTGCGCTGATAAAACCTTTAGTTCTCTCAGGGCAGTGACTTCAAATGAATTCGGAGATTCTCATTTACATATTAATCTAAAACCTTCTAACTGATTAAAGAACTAACAGTATCTTAGGGTCTCCTGCACATTAACATCTATGTTGTATTTCTTGAGGAAAGCCTTCAGGGAGTCTTTGAAATGCTTCCTTTGTTTTCCTTTTGTTTGAGTGCCTTTCTTGAGCTGAGCTTTGCTTGGGCAATCTGAACTCATGCAGGCTAAGCACGTGGCTGGCCCAATGGCATTGATTTTGAATGATTACACCTTGATGCTGATGCCATTAGCTGCCACAAAGACGGTGATGTTAGTACACTTGTCCTCCCAGCTGATCCGGAGAACTTGTCTCAAACTGTATTGATGGAACTTCTCAAGGTGGTTCACTTGAGGTGGCTTCTATATGTAGTCTAAGTTTCGAAGCCATAAAGAAGAGTCAGAAGGAGACTTCCTTTTACACAAGGACCTTGATATCACCATGGATGTCATGATCATCAAAGACTCTGATTCGGAGGCTTCTGAAGGCAGCTTTCACAGTTTAGATGCAGTGTTGAATCTCCACATCAATGTCAGACTTAGATAGCCTGGGTAGGGGAAATGTCCCATTTTTGGGAGGATTTCTTAATCGATCTTAACAGAGGGATGGACCAAAACTTTACCTGGAGCCATCGGTAAAGGATTTGAGTCTTCTTGAGGTTGAGGCTGAGACCAATTCTTTGGAATGCTTCCGTGAAGGCATTAAGTGAGGCTTGAAAATTCTCTTCCGAGAGAGCAGAGATGATATTGTCATCCACATACTGAAGTTCCACAAGCAGGGTCAGTGTTGTTTTCTTCTTGGATTTCAATTGGTTGAGGTGGAAAAGTTTTCTGACCACACCATTGAGAAGCTTGTTCTTTGCAAGCTGAGAATGGTAGTGAGGTAGATGGAGAAAAAGGTGGGAGCGATGTCACATCTCAGCTTGAGTACTGCCTTGACCTCAAAGAATGATATTATGTCACAGATGGAGATGAAATTTCACCGTACAGCCTGCCGATTGACTGAGTTAAATGCCTCGGTCAGGTTGATGATGGTATGTAGGGTGATTGGTGTTACTCCTGGCATTTATCTTGGAGTTTCCAAGCAGTGATAATCATGTCCATAGTTCCACAGTTTTGTAAGAAGCCACACTGGCTTTCAGGAAGGAGAAGGCACCTAGCGAGGATTCCCGGCAATGAAGAGCAGTAAGTAGGGAGTAGGGAGATTCCTCTGTAGGTCCCACAGACCACTTTGTCTCCTTTCTTGAAGACTGTGCCAATGACAGCATTCTTGAGACCAGCAGAGATTGTTTCTTTGTCCCAGGTTTTCAGGAACAGTTGATGGAGATGACAGGTAAGCAATGTTCCTCCAACTTTGAAAATCTCTGTTGGAATCCCATCTCCTCCTGCGGCTTTTTCATTCTTCATGAATCTAATGGTGGCTTCAAATTCTGCCAAACTGGGTGGGAGCTCTCAAGATCATCTTTGATAAGGAGTGGGGGGATTTCCTCAAACACGTCCTTCTTGATGACTGTCTTTGAGTTCTTTGAAATGTACTCTCCATTGGAGGTTGATGTTTTCTTGGTTTATCATAAGTGCCCCATCCTTACTCCGCCAGTTTGAGTTTTAGGGTGTTGGATCCTTGGTGGCAATGAAGAAACCCTGGGGTGTCATGCTTGTCAGCAAGGAGCTGATGATGTTGTTTTGCCAGACATGGAGAACTTTTTTTCTTGTCGATGAGGTCTTGGATGATGTGGTCATTCTTGTTGAAGCAGTCTTGGTGGTGTCTGGACTTGTAAGCGATGATTTCTTCACAACATATGATGATCGCTGTCTTTAGCTCTATCCAGATTTCCTCCACTCCATTAAAATGAACTGTTTGGAGATTTTGGTGATGAATTTGTTGGAAGTTCAGTAGTCTGTTTAACTTTTGAAGACGCTCAACATTGAGCCTTTTTCTGAACTGTTTCTTCGTTTTCAGCTGCTCCTGGTGATATTTGATGGACATTGAGGAGCAGATGAGCTGGCGGTCTGTCTAGCAGTTGTGTGCACTGATCAATGCTTCAGTAACAAGAACATTGTTTTGGTCTCAGGATTGAACTATTATGTATTTGATCATGTGCCAGTGCTTTGATCTTTTTGATGGAACAATGTGTTGGTGATGACAAGTGTTCCACACATTTGGTGAGCAGGAGAATCCTGTTGGAATTGTAGTTCCCAACCTCATTCATTCTGATGGTTTCTTTCCAGAGTTGGGCATCTTTTCCAACCCTGGTGTTGAAGTCCCCAAGAATAATAATTATATCTTCCTTGGGGATGTTCGTAGGTGGTTTAGGGTGGAGTAGAAGGCTCATCTGGAGCATCAAGAGTTGGAGCATAGGCACTCACAACCGTTGCCTGCTGTTTCTTGGCAAGTTGCAAATAGAGAGTCAAGAGATGATCTTTGATAACAGCAGTGAGTGTCAGTTGATGAGTTCATTCTTGACAATGAATCCAATTCCATGCACCCTGGGTTGATTCTTGAGTTTTGATCTTCAGAAGAAGGTGCAACCATCAACTTCTTCCTTCAGTTGCTCTTCACCTGCTCTTCGAGTCTCCCACAGAGCAATGATATCAATGCTGAATTGCCTGAGTTCCCGGGCAACAAAGGCAGCTGTTCATTCTGGATGATTGTTTTGCTAATCGTCCATGAGGGTTCGTACATTCCAGGTTTCGAGATTCAGTTTCCTTTTGGATTTCAGGCCACAGGTAAATGAATCTGCTGCATACAATTTTCAAGCCAGGTTGGCGATTGAACAACTATTCTAAGAATGAAACAACTGAGTCTAACTTCATTTCCTACATCCCTGTCCAAAGCTAGGGACTTCCAGATCTCACAATCTTGTTCCCTGCGTCTCTTATACAATTATACAACCTCAGAAAATTAAAATATTTTAAAATAGATTATCATAATTATAAACTCTTCTATAGCAAAAGCCATCCTTTTGGAAAGAACTGCTGTCTTAGGAAGGTCAGATACAGAAATTATTAAACTAGGCAGGAAGGATATGTATGAGTAGATCTTTCAAAGTCCATACTTAAACAATTTTGATGAAATTAGGGTGTCATAAAGAATGAGAATCATTCCTTGTCTCAATATTTCCTTGGATGCATTCAGGAAAAAGGATACAATCACTCAGATGCAGGACAAATCAGTTCTGAACACATTTTTGTCATTCTCAATAAGAAATTTTAAGAGGAATTTAGTAAATGAATGAAGATTCATACTCATTCTGGGACCCACTGGCAGTCTGTTTTAATGTGTTGTAACCATTTTAAACATTTTTATTGAAGTTAGTTAAACATGCGTGATGGGGTAAATTCCAACTTTTTAATTGCTTTATTCATTTATATATAATATTTTAATGGATGAGCAATGTACCCAAAATTAATTTCCATATGGACAATAAAGAAAGTAAAATTGAATTGAAACTTCAAGCCAATCTAGAGGGTTGGCAACCTTAGAAGCACGGAAGGCACGCATCACAACTGAGTTTTGACTGAGTGTTGCTTGCTAACTTAAATAACTGTGTGTGAATGAAATCAGAAGCAAGGATTTCAAAGGTGCTGAGACATCTTTGCTGAATCTTTTTTGTCATTCACTGCAGTAACGCAAGGATATAGATTTGTTTTTAAATAAATTTTATTTCTAACAAATATTAAATGTTTAAGAGATAGCAAGAACTGCCAATGCTGGAGTCTGAGATAACACAGTGTGGAGCTGGAGGAACACAGCAGGCCAGGCAGCATCAGAGGAGCAGGAAAGCCGACGTTTCAGGTCAGGACCCTTCTTCAGAAAATTCTGAAACAAAACTATAGGCCCTATCTTGCTGCGCATTTTTACTAGGATTATAGCGAAGAGGCCTAGCAAAGTTGTGCAACTGAATATAAGCCAGAAAGGCTTCTTAGCGGGATCATCGGAGTGTAATGAGAACATGGTGATTTCCTGCTCCTCTGATGCTGCCTGGCCTGTGTGTTCCTTCAGCTCCACACTGCGTTATCTATTAATGTTTAATCTGTGATCTTTAAAATCCTGCCTTTTCACTCAGTGGTCCTGATATAATTACAGAAAGATGGAATTCTGGACTATTACATTGTACTATAAATGGATTATTAAATAAATGACATGAATATTGATCTAAAAATCTGTTGGGATTGGCTTTTAAAACACAGGTTTTACACCTCAGCAAAGGTTAGTGCAAGAGAAATAGATTTCTGCAGCATGAAAATCCAATATGCTGCTATCATGTATGCATCAAAGA